CTTCCCGTGAAAGAACACTCAGAGCAATTCCTGGGTCACTCAGCTTGATGAAAGGAGTAGTGTTGGGTTCAAGACCATTTTTTACCAAAAGGATGTTCTTGGCACAGACATTTCCATGAACCAACCCGTTGGTTTCCTAGAATAAGAAAAATAGCACCGTTGGTCAAGCAGAGTGTTCTTAAAAATAACACAAACTGTTACTGCTATTAGTCAATAGGCAAAAAAATTACTTGGAGCACTTATCTTACACATTGCTGTGATATGACATTTACTTCACTTCCTGCCTGATAGCAGCATCTCAAACTCAAAACATGGCAGTAAGAAAGAACTACTACTTGATTCTGTTGTTCAATCATTTTACACATGGATCTGCAGCAGCTTATTTCTTAGAGTAACACTGGATTAAAAACTTCACTGAAATCAATTAGATTTACTGAAATATAATCAGTGTCAAAAATAAGGATTAGAACGCACAAGATAGTCGAGGGCACTGGCAAGCTGTTTGGCAACAATGAATTTCCACCCAGCAGACACATTCTTTTCTCTGCGAAGGAAGACATCCAAAGGCCCGAAATCCACAAATTCCTCCACCATGATGTCTGCAAAGACAGGAACAAGTCTGAGAGGTTTGGTTCATGATATGCGCACAAGCAAAACGTAAAAATAGAACCTGGTTAGGGTGATTTTGCATATGCAACATGGTTTTCTTAGTACTAAAATTAGAAATTTGACTGTATACACTGATGTGTGTGATGGGGAAATAACTATGAGGAAGTGAGGATGAACAGTGCTACGTCTCTTACTTTCAGATCCTTTGACAGACACGCCATATACAAACACCAGGTGACGGTGGGATACCTGGCACATGAGACTTGCGGTTTCGAAAAACACCTAAGAGGAGTGAAAACGTAAACGTCAGAACAGACAAGATCATAACAATCGTTTACATTCAGCATAGTAAAGTGTCATTCTTCTGAGTGAGTTTCAAACAGCTTACCAGAGCAATATCTTCATGGGTTTGGTCCAGAATCTTAAGAAC